GCCTATCATGATGCAGCATGGGCCAATGCTGACCTAGAAGGAGATCGGGACCAAGAATGGGACGGTGATTTCAAAAAGGCGTCCCAACTGGCATCTTTGGTACTGGTGGCAGACAGGTGTGTGGTCGAGAACAAGATCGGCAAAGCTTCCATAGTTGATTGGAGGAGCAAGGCAAGTGCTCGCATCTGCAGATCCACATTTGCAGGGGAGACAATGGCCTGTGGGGATGCATTGGAAACCTGCCTCTATCTGAGGAGCTTGATGCTCTCCTTCCAGCATGGACGTCTCATCCATGAGAAGGATGCGGGGAAGTACATGGATCTCCACCTATGCACAGACTGTAAATCACTCTACGATCATCTCCATAAAGCTGGGACACCGAAGCCTCCAACAGAGAGACGTCTTGCGCTGGATTTGGCGGCCATTCGCCAATCACTCTATGTGGAGGCAAAGCATCAGTGGAGAAAGATCTATGGGGAAGGGTCTGTCCGGCCTGAAAAGCCATGCAAACCCCCTCTACACTGGGTCCCGACGGACAAGCAGCTGGCAGACATTTTGACGAAAAAGATGAAGCCCGACGACTGGTGGAAGACAGTGAGTAGCGGGCTTCTCATTTTACCTTTTATGGTGCCAAGCGCGCAAACACTGGGTATACAATCCTAACCAGTGTAAATGCAATTTCATGTGCTTGGCATTTCATGTCACGACAGGCTGTGACTCAATTTCCTGGCGACCTTCGCCGTTCAGGCACAAGGATCTGTAGCAACAGCGTGGAGAAAAGGTTTGATGCATGGCTGTGCCCTTGCTGTAACTCCTACAATAATATATATTTATACATTTAACCAAATTCAATTCAAATTCAACCTATCCTGCACCAAAACAACCCATCTGGATGTTCTGGGGCCAGGCTCGCCCTCGGGGCAGTGCTTGGCGCGCTTGCGCGGCAACTTCATTGGGCAGCCTGGCTGATTTCGGGGCCAGGGAGGCTTTGGGGACAGGTTTTTTTTTCCTGGCCATCACCAGGGATACATAGGGATACATAGAGTTTCCATCTGTTTTGCAGAATATCTAAGATATGTGATTGGAGGTGTTGGTTTCAACGCTTCGAAGGAAACTTTCCAGCCTTCCCGCAATGCTACCTTGTATGACATTGACACGCCTATCCTGGCACAACTTCGAATCTGATTCTCCAACATCTTCAACGACTGAGAGGGAAACTATTGTTGATGGATTAATTTTGTCAGTTTGTTGGTGCGCCCAGCTCCCTTTGCGCTTCGCAGCTTTCGTGCTTTCATTCTCATGGAAACAAAATAAAATATGTGATTGGAGGTGATTGAAAGTAATTGCTTACCGGAGGCTGGCACTTTTGGGTTCACTATGTTTCTGCATGATATTCTGTATGCTGATGGTCGATAGCTGGTCGGAAGCCTGACATGTTGGATGATTAACCAGGCCAACCGCAACAAAACTTTGCGAAGCAATGCTGGATCAATAGGGTCATAACAGTTGTGTCCCTTTGACTGCTTTGGCCGGGGTCTGAAAATCCGTGAAGATCCTCGGTGCAAGATGCAAACACCATGATGATGATGATGATGATGATTGATGATGACGATGATGATGATGAGGATGAGATCCAAGAACTTCCATTGATTCTGGTTGCATGGCCTAGGCCGGTGCTCTTGAGACATTGGACCGGATGGTGGGCCGTGGAGTTAGTGGATGGGAAAATGGCTTGGAGATGACTGGGGAACTACTCATACATCTCGTACTTACCAGGATTTGTTCCTCATCACATCCTTCAGACCTGTTGAATTGTCTTGGAGCGGACCTTATATTTCTTTAGTGAGGAAAACAGTGCTTGAACTCAAATTTTCGTCATTGTATTCCAATGAATGAAGTGTTTGCACCACAATTTGCGGGCAAACATGGAGATAAGTGCTTAAGTCTTAAGTGGGGCCTGAAAGCTTCGCCCCATATGCCTTTCCAATCCAAACCTGTCACAGTCTGCGCCTCGACATTATTGACTTGGACTCGTTCATTGGAAAAATTGGGACCGACCCTCAAGATGCATTAATTTGTTGTTGAGCCATGTTGAGCCCACCAAGTGGGTTTGTCTGAAACGTACCCCTAAATGATCCTAAATGGGCCATTATGTCAATCAGCATTTTTCCCATGTTTTTCCCCTATGATTCAATGACCGGAGCCACATGCTATTGGATCTATTGGTTACATCGCTGGGAAACATCACACCTCACAACTCGGCACAGGCGAGTTCGGATCAAGCTGACGAGGCGAGCATCCCCTGAGGTTGATTTTGGGGCCAGACAGGTGGTTTGGAACATGGCTTTTATGGTGATTTAATGGTGATTTAATGGTGATTTAATGGTGATTAATGGATATTAACAAAAAAAACTGGTTGGTGGTTTGGAACATGGCTTTTATTTTTTTTCATATATTGAGAATCATCATCCCAACTGACGAACTCCATCATTTTTCAGAGGGATTGAAACATATTGAAACCACCAACCAGTCATGATTCTACATATTTAAGGGATCTAAAGGGATGGTTTCACAGGATGTGGTGTCATGACCAGGTGCACTACGACCTCACCATCGCAGCGTGTGTCGCCGCGAAGGAGGCCCTACGATGTATAGGTTATACTGATGGGCGCAGGTCCACTAATAATCACTAATAAGTGGTTATATAATGTTAATTACTGTTATATATATATATTTATATTATATATATATATCAGCTATTTTTTTCTATGTTCTAGATGTGTCGAAAACTTTGCAGGAATTTCTGGGAATTTCCAGTGTTTGAGGGCATGGACTCACCAGGCTATATATATATATATTATATCTGTATACATATATAAATATATACATAGATCAAAGGAAGTTCACATAGCAAACTTCCGAGTTATGGACGAATCTCCATGATCAGTCTTCGCGTCATCATGTATTTTGGGAAATGGACACGGTAGTAAGTGGACACATGAGATTGCGGCAAGAGAAGCGTGCACATTTGTGGCTGAAAGGATGACAGCGCGGGACCCAGGGGGCCCTCGATCTAGAAAACCTGGCCAGATAAGAGGCAGCTAACTTGGAGACGGCTTGGCATAGGGAATGAGTAGCTCAACGAGAGAAACAAATAACACATCATTAATTTAGTCAATCAGTCAATCATTCCTCCCTTCACTTACTCACTCGCTCATTCGCTCATTCATTGATTGGTTCATTCAGTCAGTAAGTAGTCACTCAGTCACCCAGTCACTAATTTGTCGATTCAGTCATTCATTCATTTCATTCTTTCTTGCATTCAATCATTTTGTATTCACGCTCACACTGATTCACTGATTCACTGATTCAATCAGTCAGTCAATCATCCAGTCACTCAGTCACTCACTCGTTGATCCATTCTTTCATCCAAGCATTCAATCATTCCTTTCATTCATTTCTGCATATCACACCAACGACTGCTTCGATGCGGTGTGCGCGCCACAGACCTTCCTATAGGCCATTGATTTCTTTTAGTCATTGCATGTCATTGTCCATTTCCGAAATTTCCGCCCTGGCACGGCCGGGCACTGGTATAACCATAGTGATAGAGTTTTCGTCGGGGTTTGTCCCAGGTTTGAATCACATGCTATCCATTCATCACCCCAACTGCACCCCCTGATAGGGCAGAACAGAATAAATGACGTGCAGTTCAGATCTGGATCAATTGAACTCCAATTTTGGCAGGCCTGCAGTTCTGTGTGTGGTTCTCAGGTTTTCGAAGTTTGGGGGCAGGATGTTGAACTATGTTGAACTCTCATACATAATTATCAAATATTATCAACACATTATAACACATTTATGCATGTCAGAAAGGTCTGATATGTTTGTTTTGCAGCCAAAGTTGGGAAAACGCTACCTTCTTGCACCTTCTGGGTGAATATTACCTTCAAATAGAACACCTGTCATTCTCGTTCATTTTGAAAAAATCAATTTTCAAACTTAGAATTTATTTATATATTTGTGCTGTAGCCTTGCAAAAAATGCGGCTGAATGATTTATTACATTTTTAAATGATATATATATATATATATACGTAATGCATGTTTTGTCTATGTTGTGATGTTGTGCTTAGGCGAGAACTGCTCTCAGATTGCCGTGGGGTGCTTAGAGAAACTTGGAAACGACTTTTCAGCTTCAGATTTGCTTGAGTGAGATTACTGTTTAAAAATAGGCAAAAGAGGGAAGCAACCAATCTAGCAGTTCGTGACCATGATCGGTGCCGGCATCCCATTGGCATATAGGCATACCCCAATTGCATAACAATCATGGTGTGCAGGAAACTTGGCAATGATTTCATTGTCACATTCTCATGCATTAGGATGATGCCGCTTTCTCTGGACCGGTATACTAGTAATTATATCAGTATATTGTCAAATGTTGCAAGTAAAACATGTCCTATCATGTCCTATCTATAAATGGTAGTTCGGACTTAAGATGATTATGGCTTGTGAGTTGGTGCCCGGCCGCGGCCCGACCAAGGAGTGAAGCTGTTAGAAGCGAGACAAAAAGAGCGATGTTTCTTTAAGTGGCCTCCAGGGCATGCCCAAATTCGTATGTGTGGTGGATGCGATTCGATAGCGCATATTTTGATATTTTGGGGGGTCGATGTAGCCTTGAGGTTGTTGACTGTTGTTTTGTCATAGGTTGTCGCACATGTTGCAAAACATAGATGTTCAGCGGAGAGTCACTTGCCTCAGAAACCTTTCCGTCCGCTGTGGTTTGCCTTATTTTTGTGGTTGTTTGAAATTTTGCAACGGTGATTGTCGTTTTCTCATGGTTTCTCTTTTTTGGGAGAAAGAAACATCGCAAATTCAAATTCGTTATGATGTATACCACTTAAATCCACTTAACAGAGTATCGTTAAGTATTAATGGCTTCAAATTTCTGTTGTGCAGTGTAGACGGCTAGAACTCGTTTGTCCCCAAGCTGAATGGTTCAAGGGGCCATTCGTCGCCACTCGTTGGCTTCCAAATGCCATGTTTATCACATTCGTGGGGGTGCCCGGGGTATGAAGATGCTCATGAAGGTGGTTGAGAACGGTGTAGGAAAAGGATGGAAAAGATGCCAGCTGACTGCCTGATGCCATGATTTTACAATATTTTACATTTGGGACCCATATGCTCCTGGTTTGCCGACGAAGGCGATGATTTTCGATGATATGTGGACATCATGGACGGTTCACAGTGACAATGATTTTGTTAATTTTCATCATGAACATGATCTTGACATATTTTCTAGATATTTTGACATGATTTTCATGATCCCCATAAAATCCTGCAGCCGGCCACCCCAAAAAACGGCTAGGTGGTGCTCACACTGGTGGAGGCCCATTGGGACCAGCCTCACTTAATGAATGTATGTCCTTCACATATAAAAATTGTTACCTACCGACTACCTTGTAGATATACAATATGTATACATATAATAGATATTGTTTTTCTACATACATAAACGTATGTTTTTGTTTTTTTGAATATGTATGCATATATAGTTAATGTCTAATCTATATAATCTATACACGTTTCTGTACATGTTGTTTCATTTCGGGCAACCCGCCTGGACGCCCTAGCAAAAAATACAAGCCCTTTGTACCTATACTGCAGGTCTGTCCTAGAAATTTGGGTGGTCTTTAACATGTTTTACCTGTCATCTCCAGCCTGGTTCATTTGCTCCGCAGGTTCTTGCTGTTGAGCAAGGTCGGCATGTACTTGTAAGGCCGCTGGTCGGCTGGTGCTGCCCTGGGTCGACTGTGGATCAGTTGCTGTTTTTTTGTTTTCGTTGGATTTATAAGCTTAAACTGGCTCATGTAACAGTGAAATGGGGTTGTAAACCCAGCGCTAGTTGCAACTTGTACCAGGGCTCCATCATTGCAACATTTTGCGGCCCAAGCAGTATCAAACCCCCACACCCACACAGCACACACACACACACACCCACGCACGCACACACACATATATATATATACATATCATTCGTTGATGTTCCTTGGGTTCAGGTCGTCCGCTCCACCAACGAAAATCGACTTGGATGCTTGTTGGGGCATTTGCAATGATACAATGGTTAGGCGTCTAGCGCTTAAATTAATCCCATCATCCTAATATTAAACACCCCAATTGCATCCCAAACAAAATGTGGAAAATCCCTACATCCAACTTTGGTTTCCTTTGGCGGTGTTTAATATGAACGGGGGGAAGGGATTAGTTCCATGCCCAAATCAGCAGTGCAGGCGCCACGAGGCGCTAGATGGATTCATGCCCCTCGGCTTTGAGCGTTTTCGCACCAACACAGACGACAAATGGCCACATTGATCTGGGTTGGGATTGTAGATGATTTCACGATATTTCACTGATCACTATTTGTTTGTAGATTGTAAGTGATTTATCTGGGTTGGATGATTGATCATGATGAATCGGAATCTAGATCAAATAATTCTTTTAAATGATATCCACTTTTGCAACATTTTGCAACTGCTGTTGCCCCATGAACGGTCATTGACCACTCTCTAGCCGGTGGGGACCATTGTTGACCAAGACTCGGGTTGATGGCTGGTTGTTTCTGATGCGAACTGGATTTTTTGGACATATCCAATTTAGCCATAATCAGCCAACTAAATGTTTGGGGGGGGGGTATTTTACAAAAAAAAAATGTGGTTTGGAATTTGGAGCAACAAAATGGGCATCATATGCAAAAATGTTTGGAACAATAAGGTGATTTCTCGGTGGAACATCAACAATGGGTGAGTGTCCCGTTGTTGATCGTTGTTTTTTTTGTCCAATTCAAGTTGGACAACCAAAACAGGTGATCGTGCCCCATGACTTAATTACGGAACATGGACCGAAAAATTACGAATTGATGAGTTGATATAGTTTAGGAGTACGGGTCCTTTGGGTGTAGGTTGGGTGACATAAAACCATCTATATTCTACGCCTGTATCTTGGAGTAGCCAGGAAACCTCTGACATTTTCTGAGGCAGCAGGATGATGCCGAGCCTCAAAGTCAGGCTAGAGATGCTGGTTTAACATGATTTAACCCACTGTAGGATGCAACCAGAAAGCTATTCTCTGTTGGAATTTTTGAAGAAAAAACAAAAAACATGGAAATTCATCTGTCGAATCTGTCATGGCAAATTTTACCGTAGGAAGTTGAAACTCCAATGAGTTTTGGACATGGCCACCACCCCATTGAATTCATTCGTGCTTGGCACCTGAAGGCAGCCAAAGTGAGCAAGGCTTGGGTCAAGGCCTCAGCTGTAGCATCAGCGCATGCACATGCATATGTCTAGATATAAAAGGAATTAAACATACAATAATAACAATAATATAATATTATATATATATATATGTGTGTGTGTGTTGGTGTGTGTGTGTGTTATATATATAAATCCCCTTTGTTGGTTGGGAACTTCCCCGTACTGTTTGCGCCATCCCTGCAACAAATCGAACGTGGGGCCCCAAAATGGTCATTTGCAAGTGCTGAAGAACATCTTCAAAGGGAAGTGTTTGGGCATTCCAGGTGTCAGTTTGAGCCGGCTTGCCATTTTTCCAAACCCGAAACTGGACTTTGTAGTGTTTCGTATGGGTTTCATTTTTCATCATTTTTCTGCCTTTTAAGGGCAAGATCAAGCAAGCAGAGTGAGCTATGTATCATGAAAGCTACCTTCTGCTAACTGAGTCCCTCTTGTTTTAGCAAGGTATTGGCAGGCAATTGGCAGGGGCTGAAATTTGCTTACCCTTGGCATCAAGTGTGCAAGTAGTAAAGCAGCGGTTGTGAACTAACGTGTTTGGTTTCAGTGGTCCCCTTTTTGGGGGCTAATTAAATTACCCACTGCATCATACTACTACTGTACTTCGGGACATGCCCAAATGACAACATTGACAAAGCATGCTTAAAGGCGAGAAAATATCAATCCTCAGATGAATAAAGCGGGTTGCTTAATTCGGGATTCGGTAGTGCCACTTTAACAAGGGATGAATACACTTAATCAACCAGCAAGGAATTCAGTAGTTGCAAGTCGGCCGCCCAGGACTCTCTACCGTACTCAAGCTTCGCGGGAAAGAAGGTGGTCGATCAATAGGGACTTCTGTTGTTATGAATTGGGACGTATATGTGGACATACTGTAGATTCTAGATGAAATTAAACAGCACCAAGAACACAAGTTGCCTCTTCTTTCCACTGTGAAACAAAGCCTCTCCAGGACGCTTTCTGAAGCATCAATCCATTTGTGCAAGCCTTCGGGCGCTTGAAGTTGGTTGATCTTGGACATGCATTGGCCCATGTCCAGGATTCCAAAGCGCATCCTGAAGACAATCTTGAGAAGCCGACAGACACCTCCTATTTGCCAAGAGGTTGTATGTGTGTCCAAATTTGCCCCCCTGCTTTCCAAATCTTACGCGTAGACCATGAACTGGTGCCTGCATTTTTGGAAGCATCCTTGACTGACTTTTCTTTTAACTGTTTTTTGCCACCTGTGACGATTAACAGTTCAGTTCCACTTGCCGAGGACCAAGGACATGAGCACGAGGCCAAAGTTCAGTCGATGGAGGTGTCTCCTACCGGGGAGGCCCACCTGCAACCCTCAGCCATGAATCCAGTCAGAGCTGTGCCGCAGTCGGGAACTTAGACCAGCAGACCCAGAGATATCATCTGATTTTAACTATTTCTGGGCAGTAACCTGAGCTGGTAAGCCCAATGATTACCTCAAACCCAAATGCGCGGATCAGGTGTAGCTTGAAAGAAAAGCACAACATACACTTGGTGCAACAATTACATTACTATATGCTGCAACCCAATCAGGTACGTCCTTGTATGGCTTATTGGTTGCGTTTCCCATAGCTTCGACCTGCGGCCATCCCTCAACAATTCTCCGTTGATGCCATGGGCTCAGGTCACTGGCGCCAGAGGCTGCGCCAAATCATCCTCCCAGTGATCCTCACTTGAGCTCTGGGAAATTTGGTCACTTGGCTGAAGGACAGCAGGACGTTGAAGGATATTATATCTATCTATCTATATATACACTATGTATAATGTGAGTAATTGATAGTATAGGTATATTCTTATATGTTCTTGACATTCTCGTTTTTCTGATCTATACATTCAAGGAAAGACTGTGATTTACGGCGATTATCCGATTCGCTCATCTTTGGTGGCATGGTCCCACACCTTCAAGTCCTTGCATATAGATCTTTGAAAGCTTAAGCAAACCCTGCAGATTTCCCCTGAACTGTTCGTGGAGAAACATCCCGCGACTGGTAAACATATGTGCTGCATTTAGGTATGTAACATCCGTAAAGTGAAAAAAATAACTTGCGTGGAGTCTAGAGAGTCTAGAGATATCATGAGAGATCCCATGCATGATTCAACCATCCCGGTTGGTTGATGATCATTGGACCGGGTTATAATGCCCAACATTCAATATGCCTAATACTTAATATACTGGGGACTATCATCCATTCTGGGAAGCCCAATCAACCATACTGTGACGCTTTGAGATCCTGGGATCTCCTCCTATAGAAGGCTTGGCCTATGGATGTCCATGGGGTATGGTCTGGTCATTCCACCTGAATGGGATTCCCCGATTCATATCGATTCATGGGTATCTCATGGTAGTTCTATAGACTACAGTCATCCCTTATGAACATGTTTCAGGTTATTCTTGCTCACTACATTCACCCCCATATGATCTCATATAATCCTATACAGCACAAGCAGATCGCGACGGAGAGATAGTTATAGTTCTTCAATCATAGTTATAGTTATATTATACAGTAACTGTAGTTATATAGTTAATCATTACTAATAGCTTAACTCTTCGAGAAGGCGATGGAGATAAAAAATCATCACTAAATAACTCATAACTATTATAGTTATAGTTACTTATAGTGACTATGATACCTATCCCCATAAGCCCCATATGTTCCCATCCATGGGAAAATCCACAAGGTGCTGATGTCCCCAGCGCTTCCCACGTCACAGCGGAAGCCCTGGCGGTGGCCGTGGCAGCAGAAGATGCGGCACAGTGGACCGGTCGCTGGGCGATGGCGAAATGTGGTGATGGCGATGGTGGTTTATTCCAACGGCAACATGTCGAATATTATATTATATATATATATGTATATGTGTGTAATATATATATAATTTAATTCCCCCCTTTTAACATCTTTTAACCCTGGAATATTTGGGGCGGGGTAAGACAAGAAATTTCTGAGACATATTTCACCTGACCACATGAAATATACCACCCCACATGTTTTTTTGGGTTTCCAAAAGAAGTGGGGGGGTCCTCCAGATGCCAGACTTTAGCCTAGATATGTCAATTGGATATACACAGATCAAAAAAGCAAACCGTGCATGACCTCTGCGAACTCCTGCTCTTGGTCTTTGAAGGTACTCAGAAACGGAAATGGAATTTGTGGGGGAGGGGGGCTTCTAGAGCTGTAAAATACCATGGTTTTGTCCCTCCCCCCTCAAAAATTTCACAAGCAACATTTGGGAGAGAAAAAAACATATGAAAATGCGCGCTTCAGCCGCTTCGCACGTACCTGACCACATCCACAGGTGCCCGTTGATGCATAAGTGACAGCGCTAAGATTTTCCATTGCCTTATTCTCCTGTATACAAACCACATTTTTTTAGCTGAAATATTTCTAGATGTGTGTGGAGGGGGTGACACACCCCTTTTTGAAATATTTCAGTTTTTATCACCCCCCACCACATAATATATTGTCTACATTATATTGTGCACACATGTCTAAAATGTCCAAGAGTATTTATATATCACATTTGAGTGCGTATTAAGATAGTTACAGTTTCAGCATTCCCAGCAAAAATTGAGGATTGATGAACATAAATTCGGACAACATAAGCATTGACCCAAGACATGAACATGTAACGCACGCAAAATGATGCTTGTTCTAAGCATGAACCGCGAAACACACGGGGATTTAACAATTAATAATGACACGAAACAAGGGAACGGATCTTAGCCAGCCAACAAAATTGGATGTAACCCCATGGAGACACCGAACATGCCTTTGGAAGATGGTTTGTATTTGTTGCTTGATTATCATTCAATTTGGATAGTTCAGAGGTCAGTAGCTTACTTACCCAAAATCTGCGGGTTCGACTCCATGCCCACAGGACATCAACATACATAGTGTAGTGTTGGCCTGCATTGATCAGCTAGGAAGTATGCCCTCCGAGAACGCAAACATGTTTATGAATGTTTATGAATCACCAGCCCAGATGATCCAGCGTGTGTTCCGGTATGCAGATGCATACTTGGAAATCAGAAAATGTAAAGTGTACTCCTCTTCACCTCAAAAGGCCATCAGCAGGTAGATGCAGTGAGAGAGGATAGCATTTTCGGAAGTATATAGCATTATAATCTGCTCGAACTGAGCTTCAAACACATTTTGGACAGGGGCGATTCAGAATGACGCGCCGCTGAGGTAGCCCGATCCGAGTAAGCCCGGCAGGGAATCAAACCGCTCGTTTTCAGGTGTGAGCAGAGCATTGTGTGAAGTATGGCGGGTTGGGAGAATTTTTGACCCCTGACTCTGACCATGTAAAGCGGGAAATTTGTAGGGATTCTGTAGAACCAAGGGTCTGAAGGATTCAAGATCAGGAGCCATTGCTTCTGTCTTGCAACCTTGGCTTCTCCAGGGTTCAAGGTGAGGATTTCAAGTTTCGTAAGTTAAAGATGCCGTCGGCCGTCATTCATAGCAAACTGCAGCAGGAGAAGGCAGCGAGGGAAAACAAGACAGGCACGGACTCATACCGCTTCAGAGGTGATACTTTTTGCCCCAAATTGTCCCATTGCCAGATTTATCTTAGACCAGCAAACGTTTTTGCGCGGGCGCAGCAGGTTTTACTCCTGACTGAATGTTGGCACTTCAAGTCACTTCAGCGGTTTTACTCACTTCCACCCCGGGTTGGTGCTCCAGAGCCGCGGCAGGATGGCCCGCACGCCTGGTGCAAGCCGCTCAGGTCCCCATGGTCTCCGCGCCTGTGATGTCCGCTGTGCCGGCCGCGCCGGTGGTGGCAGAGGCCGCCACCACGGCCGCGGCCACGACGGTCGCGGCAACGACGGCCGCGCCGACCACGGCAGCGGCTACCACGGCCGCGGCCACCACGGCGGCGGCAACGACTGGGGCAGTGGTAGGGATGGCAAGGACCACGGAGGAAGAGGAAGCAGAAACCACAGAGGAAAAGGAGGAGAAAGAACCTGAGGAAGAGGAAGAAGAGGAAGAGGAAGAGAATGAGGACAAGAAAGGAGACGGGATGGTAACGGATTCAGCGGATCTTTGCTTGGAGGTCATGAAAGGCTCCCCAAATTTTATCTTTCCTGATGACCACACGTTCGTCTGGGTTGCCAAATTCCATGAATGGCGTGGCACCAGCCATCCCTCGCAGGAGCTGGTCAAGTCCCAGACTGAGCAAATTCATAATTAGCTCATATCGACTCACTATCTGGATTTGGGTCGACATTTGGGATCATTTGGGGAGTTTGCCTCAAACACCAATATTTAGTCATGAGATCATATGAGATGACTCCCCACTGCGTTCTAGTGAAAGCGGGTCTATTAGAAGAAAGAGGTTTTGATCGGTGGTTTCTGGGTGAGCTATTACAAAGTGACCTAGCACGGAATAGCATGAGGCTGATGATCTAGCACTTCTTGAGCCATCATTCTGATGTGTCTGATGTGCTTGTATACTACAGTTCAACAACCGTGCCCAGCGAAGGACATGCAACCAGCCTTTGGATCATTAAGATAGACATGGAAAGCCCATGAAAACCCATCATTTCTCGATCATTTCCTTTGGGAAACCATGGGGTTTCCAATGTTTCCATAGCTGCACTGGAGGCTTCCTTTGTGGAGCAGCACTTCGTGCTGCTGGCGGCTGGTGGGGTGGGGTTGGCGCCCCAGGTCGATCCTTTTGCCATGGTCCCGGCGGAGATCGGACATACAATGACAAATATATACATATGACACACACACACATGTATATATATATATACATATTATAGATGCTAAAATGGCAACTGGTTCCATTTTCTTTGAATTTCAGCTTCTGTTGCATGATTCACGCAAATCCATGTGTGTTGCCATAACGCCTGAGCTAAGGGTGGTCACCCTGCTGGTGATAGGCCAGCCCAGAAGCTTGGTGAGTTCGGTATGGGGAATGGCCTACAGTTTTTGCTCCGCGTTGATAGGAATGGCCAATTTTGGAGGAGCCTATGAGGCCTGTGATTTTAAGGATCTGAAAAGAGCTACTTTCAATTTTTAAGGAGCAAATCGATCCACCAATGGGTCTGATGGACTCGGGAAGGGATATCGGATAGTGAGTGAAGGGATGGATGGCTGTCTGGGTGTGGGCCCATCCCATAACATCCATAACAAATGGCACTGTATGAGGATCCAACCTCACTCGATCTCACAGTTGGTACTTGTAACGGTCAGAAAGGTGCATCCCCTGATATAATCCTACAATTGTATACTTGTACAAAACAAGGCTTTTAAAGAGAGTCTACAGAAGGCAATCAACATTTTGTGGTTTGGGACTGCTCGGCGCATTTCCGAGCCGGGGCGACCTTTCGGATTTGAGGCTTCAACAATTATCCTTCCAGGTCCTTCCATTGATATCGATCAGCCATTTTTCCCAGGATAGCAGCTCGGATAGCATAGGATGTCATTCATTGATGATATCCAGTTTATGATAGCCAGTTTCTCCCCCACGATGGGCAATTTCCTGGGACTTTTTTTATGAATCCCTTCCCCCGGTTCTACTACCCCTGCTATTGGTGGTGTAGGAAAGGTGAGAACCTTTCCGCAAGAAAATGAATTCACAACTTAATAAACAAAAATCATCAAAAATCCCATATCGATATATATATATATATATATCGATCGCATTCCTTACTAAAATCTAATTGACATATTGCCAAATTCTGGATTTAGAAGATTTCCCCTAATAATAAAATCACAACCGTAATTAGAAAAACTAAGATTTTCGAGTTTAAAGACGGACCCTGATAAAAGACACCCCGGGGTTATTAACTCTTGTTTTATCATTATAGGGGGGTGAAACCCTCAAATTGGATCTTGATTTTAAACTTGTTTTCTAAAGGTGATCAATATCAAATCAAATTGACCAACCTAAAAACATCCCAAAAGTGAAAATGAACCGGGATAGTAATAAGGGAACGGGAGTATTGTTATTCAATGTTCATCCCGGCAATTGACTAACATACTAACATTTGAGAGATGGGTTCAAAATGGTTCAAATCACATAGCATACCTTTTTCCTTTGCCAATGCACCACTACGGGAGGTTTAGTTTGTTGCTGCCGCAGATCATGATTTGCTGGGAGCCCCATGGGTCGGTTTCGGGATCCAATGTTTGGAGCAGGGCTAGGAGGTCCAAAAAAAGCATGCGTCTTTCTGATGCTTTTGGAACAAAAAGAAGACGTTTTATTCATACATGTTCCTCAAAGTTGTGCACTTCAAATCCCCAATTTAACAACTCTCACAGGTCACAGAGTTTCGGAAGAATACTCCGGGCACCCGCCACGTGCTGGGCAAACGCAGGCTCCAAGCCAACCTGAGCTTTTGTGTAGCACTCGCAGCGCGGTAGCATTGAAATTCACCATTGCTATGGCGGCCAGAAGGATGCTGGCTGGGGACCCGGAAAGCTATCATGATCTATCATGACATATGACCCGTCATGACCTGTGAGAGTGCCCATAATTAATTAGTGCCTACAAAATCGGCCATCAAATTGTGGTTTTGAAGCTCTTGAGTCTACTTCATTACGGCGCGAGACAGCCCCTTCTTGCCTTGACCCTGGCTGGTGCGATGTTTAGCAGTTTAGCACTTGACAATTTGCGACTTGCGCTGAAAAGGGTCATCGTGAGACAACTACGTTGTGGAGAGAAATGAATAAATAAAGTGTGCATCCCCGCTTTTTCCGGACTTTCTGTTGGAAGTTGTGTGAACGGCGCGCCATCCGCTCATTTTTCGGCCCAAATTTGGGTGAGAGTTTCAGCACTTCAGTATGAGTATGCAAGTCCCCCTTTGGAATGAGGTGGGTCAGACTTTGGAATAGCTTTATGACATGAAGCTAAGCAGAAGCAGATGGGGGCACCGGGCAGCAGAGTGTTGTGGGTCAGCTTGTAATTAAGACCCCTAAACCACAGATTAGATGAGAGAGAGATAGATAGATTAGATTAGATTAGATTAGATTAGATTAGATTAGATAGATAGATAGATAGATAGAAATATATATATATGTGATTTATATATAATGTATGTATATATATATTACATATACTTGAAAGCTTCATTTCTGGCAAATGTGTATCGATCACATTGGGATCAATATGGATCAACACCATACCACAGGACTACCATCAAATCACCCACTTTCAATAGCATCATCCGACTTCCGCAGACGCACCTCCGGCCCAGCATGAGTTGATCTCCATGTGGGGCAACCGCAGTGTTGGGACCTCAGAGGCCTGTGGGGCCCCGGCAGCGCACCGTGATGTGTTGACTGAGGAAAGAGATGAGGGAGAGGCGCGTCCACATGGAGAATGTTGGCGCTTGGCTGCCCACTGTGTACCCAGACTTTCCACTTTGAAAGGCTACAGAATTTGAAGACGGGAATAGGATGGACCAGATGATTGAACCCCAAAATGATAGAAGGAGCATGCTGAAGACGAACCATTGGTCTGTTTTGGTACTATATCCATCTGTATCCATGTTTAATGACATTTTTGCAACTTCTCTGTGCATTTTTTGCCCAAAATCAATGGATCTTTCTATGTTCAGGACTTGGTGAAGAGCTTGACATCAGGCCGTGACGGGCAGTGCTTCACTTGATGAGTTCCAGCTTGTCATCTGATGCCATTCCCAACATGTCAGCCTTTGGGCCTGAAAAGATTGTTTGGCCTAGAAATGCCTAGAAAGCAATAAGAAACATTACAATATATAATTACAATGTGTATCATTGTGTCATTTCTTCAATTTCTTCCAGTGAGAGCGGGTTTTCACTTTCAAGTGCCATATTATATGTTGCAGTTCATCATGTTCACCCGAAGCCTGGAAATCATTTGACTCCGTGCAGGTGATGGCTACCGCAGGCCTGCAAGGCGACGCTGCACGGATCCCTTTTGTGCCATGGTCTTTGTTGTCTTCCTCTTTGGCATGTGGTGCTTGGCTCAGTAGCGACTCTGTGGCCTTCGGATGCCTTCGGGTTCGTTATGAGATAGTGTAGCTATGGATGAGAATAGAAATTGCCAGAAATCCAAGAAACATCCTGTTCGGCACACCTGCAAGCCGGATTTCAACCTTTGAGCGGCAGAAATCCTCGGATCAGATGCACCTGGACTAAGTTGGCCTCCCAAGGCCTCCCTTCGAAGCTGAGGTCAGTCTTCCACCATGCCCTGAGAGAAGGGGACCTGGCAAAGCTGCCCCATGGCTCCGGTTTTTTCGGCCAGCAGTTGTTTGGCCCAGGGGTTTATGCCATGACTTGGGTCCCGAAATTGTGTATCCAATGCCTTTTTTTTTTTAAAGCATTCTACCTCAAAACGCATACCATATGATATCCAAAGTCTAAAGTTCATTCTGTCTTGAATGTTACCCTCATGCAGGCTTCGCATTTTTCACAAGTTGAGGTCGGGGAAGTCATTTGCTTTAAATCTGGTTTGGGAAATTGCTACTAACATCTACTAACCATAGTTAAATTTAATTATATAATATTTCTGCATAATTCTGCATGTATGTAAATTTATAAATCTATTTATTGATATGACAAATGTACCTACAAATGGGTCCGTCTGAAAACAGGGTGCACCTAACACTTGTGGATTATTATGATCATGTTCCCCATTAACATCCATTAACATTACACGACAAACAGAAAACGGGGTATACTGCTCACCTTCGGACCCACATGTCTTGTTAGCTTGGTTTCAGAACTTATTGTAATTTGGCATTTATACCATACATTGGTAGCTTTAATGATACGGGGATAAATATATAATTTATATGGTAGGTTAACAATAGCCCATTACATGTTGTTTTATACTCATGTCGTATTAGGTAGGTTGTTTTATAGCCATTTATACCCAATATATACCCCATTTATACCCCATATTTGTTGGTTAGATACCTCATAATTTCCCCCAAAATGCCAAAGCCTGGCTGCTGAGGACTCATGGCTTCGATTGGACTGGATCCATTTGTGGGGTCGACGAGGTGTGGAAGCGAAACTGGAGATGACAAACAATCTTGGAACAATGAATACATTTGTATATATATATATATATGGTACCCCCCCAAAACCGACGTTTTTGAGGTCGCAACGCTTTTGGGACAAATTACCTTGTTCAGTTTGAGTTCCAGTGGGGGGGGGCCATATATATATATATACATATGTGTGTATTAATTGTTGTCTTACTGTTGAACCCAGGTACTTAGAGCAATGTTGTCACCAAAAGCGTTTGCAAACGTTTGCAAACGAGTCCAGGGGCCCAAGTACTTAGACTGGCTCAGGATTCAAGATTCAAAATCCAAGATTCAAGATTCAAGATCCAAGATTCAAGATTCAAGATCCAAAAAAACTTCTTGAATCCCGGGGCTAGGATCAGGAGCGGGAAAATAAATAATCAAAAATTAATCATTGATTATATTGATGATTATTTATAATGTTATGATACATTGTTGTGCTTTGAATATTCTTTTGCTTTATTAATATGCGACATTGCATTTTCTTTGTATCCATATCTTTAAAAAATGAAAAAATAAGAAATATTATTTCATTGGTTTTGTAGCAATAGATTGTCGATTTTAATTAAGTGATCTTTATAAGATATATTATATATATCTAGATTTTAATTAAGTGATCTTTATAAGATATATATATATATATCTAGAAAATTGATCAAAGAGTGCCTTTTCTTCTTGTATATTAAATTGAGTATTTTCTTGCCATAGTTCTTTTATAAGTTGACATACTTTACTTTCTATTGAGTGAGTGGATATTTTTAAGCTTTGAAGAGCATTAAGGTAATATTTTTTGCATAAGATAGTTTTTGCAGGATATCTTTCACACCAATTAATGACTTCATAAGGTGCTAATTGATGTAAATATTGCTCCGCGTTTTGAATTAAAAGATATATTTTTCCCAATATGGGTTATAATATATACATTCTTTTACTTGTTGTACTATTTAGTAAAAAGTCGGAATTTATTGCTGTATAAAAGCATTTATTTGCAATTTTCTTGCTAGCGTTCAAAGCAGTTTGCCAATCATTTTAAATCCAACTATTCATAGCAAGAGCTTTAAACTTTTTTTTGATTTTTTGTAGATTGTAAAAATTGTGTGTATGTAATAAAAAAAAGTAACCAAGTAGAAAAGACATACTAAAATAGCATGTTTTAGATATTTTGGCACAATTTGAATCACCAGTTATTTTCCAGTTGTTTCTAGTTTTTCTTTAGAGAATATGGAAATATTTATTAGTTGCTCAAAAGATGGAATAACTATGGTGGACGGATGTGGAATGGAATTTCCTGAAAATAGATTATTAAATATCTTAGATGAGGCTTCAAAGCGTTTTACCCCAGTTATAAACTTGATATTAGATATGAAATCTAAAATATCAAAAACAAGTTTATTTCTAATATTCCTCTAGATTCTCACCTTTGCTCAACACAATTGTCAGAAGAAATCGAAAATCACGCCAGCATACTTTATTTAAACAGCAAACTATTTCTTCAACCTTCAAAACAAGCAAGAGAAAAACGTCGGTTTTGGGGCGGGGCTAGCATATGTATATATATACTGTATATACTGTACATACATACTTGCATGATTGTATATTTGTATATACAGTTATACAATCATCAATCCATACATGAATGGATACATGAATGTAGAAACATATATGGTCCCGTGTCTCTCGTTCACCCCCCCCCACCCCATATGGTATGAGGGGTTACACCCACCCCTCCCCACCCCCTACCCTCACCAACCCCCGCCCCCACCCCCGCCCATATCACATCCACAGGGGGGAGGGATACGTAGACATATACATATACACATACATATACATATGGTATTCATGTGCACATACACATACTACATACGTAATACATATGCATATATATATATAGATATACATCTCTGCGCGGTCTATTTGGGGGCGGTTCAGATCAAAGTTTTCACATAGATATACACATGCATATAATATATATATATATATATATACATGCACTACAATACATTACATTACATTGCATTACATTGCATTACATTGCATTACATTGCATTACATTGCATTACATTGCATTACATTACATTACATGCATACATACATACTGTACATGCATACGGTACTTATATATATATAACTTGCATATACATATGGGGACCATCACCATCTCGGGGGGGAGGGGGGGACCACCAGACGCTGGGCTATATATATATATACATACACACTTTGCATATGTGTTTATATATATATATGTATTTTTATATGCATGTATATATATATATATGTATATGTATATATGCATATATAAGCATTTAGGTATACATATAGATAATCCCATACTTCTATGTGTATATATATATATATACATATATATACACACATTATTTGTAGGTACATGCCTATATACATA